CATTTATTTTATGGATGTAGTTTTGTAAAAAAAAAAAAAAAAAAAAAAACTCAGAGGCTTATAAATACTTACGTATAGCTAATGTATTTCTCCAACATTAGTAAGTTAACAATCGTTGTATTTACCTCCAGTTTGTTTCCATTCTTTAATATTACCAAATTAGTTTAAATTTGATTATTTGTCTTGTTTTTGGGGGGCACAGAATGACCTTTAGCCTCAGCTCAATGTGAACTCATGGATACCCTATTGCCTCAGCATGTGAGTCCACAGATGACAGGCAAGAACCACTGTTTCTGTTGAAAGCCAAAGAAAATAAATATCGGAAATAGTTAGACATGATGCTTTGAATCTCAGCAAAATGATACCCACAAAAACATAAAACTAGGTATTTGTTTACAAAATACAGCAAGCCAGCTCTAAAGAAAGATTGTGTCATTTGAATTAATTTTTCAAATATACCATGATAATAATTACAGGTACTATTCTACAACACAGTATATTAAGATCACATGCCCCATTTTAAAAAATGGAGTAAACATACCAGTTGGCACTTTAAAAGTACTATTTTTTATTTCTGTGTTTGTCCATATAGTATGTATGTGTACATGTTAGTGTGCATGCCGTGACTTTCTTGTGGAGATCCAAGCACAACCTCTTCCAGCATTGCGTGATGTCTCTCTTGTGGGCTGCTGCTCTGTGTGCCCTATGCTGACTTACCTGCAAGTTCTGAGGGACTCTCTTGTCCCTGCCTTTCAATTTGCCACTTGAGTGCTGAGATTACAGATAACATGTTGCCATGTCTGACTTGACATGACTTCTGAAGAACCAAAATCATGGCTCTCTACCTGAGTTCCAAGGACAGAAACTTCTGTTATCAGTCTTGTTCAGCAAAACATGCTTCTGAGCTTAACTGACAAATTTAATTTGTATTTACTGTTAATATCAGACTAAACAGTGTAAAGACAAAGGTGAATTTATTTTTAAATTATTATTTTTCTTTTTTATTATAAAATGGTTATTTTTAAAAATTAATGAAAACTTCAATGAATTATTTGTGAAATAATTGTTCGTCTATTCATCATAAATCTATTAATATTGAACTTTCCTATTTGACAGTATAGGACAACCCATAAACCTTGTCAGTGTTTAGGTAAGAGAATTTAATTTTTTTTTTTTTTGAGATAGGGTTTCTCCATGTAGTTTTGGTACCTGTCCTGGATCTCACTCTGTAGACCAGGCTGGCCTCAAACTCATAGAGATCCCCCTGCCTGTGCCTCTCTATTACTGGGATTAAAAGCATGTACTACCGCTGCCCAGTGAGAATTTAACTTTTTGAAATTAATTTGTTTATTCCCTGAGTAAATGTTGATTGTCTATTATCCTCCAGGTCAGATTCTAGGCACTGAACACACTACAGAAATCAGAGATGTAGCTTTCTACCACACAGAGCTTGGGGCTGGAAACAATAAACAATAGAAATTCGTTGTAATGTAAGGAATATTTTAAATCTCTCTGATCTCATCTGAACCATTGCATCCTCTTCGTCTTGCTACGTTGTTCAAACCTTATTGTGACTGTTCATGTAATCCTGCCTCTGCTTGACCACAACTTGGATCATATCCTATCTCTACCCATACTTCTAATATATTTGAAATAAAAATGCAATGAGTAATTGCACTCACCCTCATTTCCCCTAAAGACCGTGTGTGTGTGTGTGTGTGTGTGTGTGTGTGTGTGTGTGTGTGTGTGTGCATGCACACACATGAGTGTGGGTGTGTTGTTGAAGACCAGAACCAGGGCCTTGGTTGCAGGGCCTCATGGGTGAATGGTATCCACTTACCACAGGTGTAAGTCTCTGCCTTCTCTTAGCCTGTGCATTCTTTTGCCACCTTCCAACTACTAGAGGACAATGCTCTCCCGCATCTTGCATGACTTACTTTTCAAATCTTCAAATAAGTGTTAGTTTCATAAAAAGTTGTTTCTTTACACTCTACTTAAGGCACCTTATTACTTCCTCCACTGCCTATATTGATGGGAGGAGGGGGGTTGTGGGAAGTAGAAATGCACTCAGACTGTCAAGAAACAAAGAAAGAAATTTGTAATAGATTAAACCTCTTTAAACTTTTAATGAGAAATGAATGGAGGACAGTGGGCCAAACCCCTGTTAACCACATAACAATGTCAAGATACAGAACACCCTAAGGATAGTAGTTTTGCTTGTCAGTTTTATTTAGAAGTCATATAAGTGTTGTATAAAGTAGAGTGGAAAATTAAATACAAACATTAACTGTTCTTAAATGTATTTCAGAAATATATGCATATATATACACATATATGTGTAATATATAGGCTTTATAGAGAGAGAATATGTATGTGAGTACAGGAAGAAAGAGGTGTGATAAGTAAGACTCAGGGATATGGAAGGAGTTGAAGAGAAAGAAGTGGAAGGTGGATTTGATCAAACACATTATAGTTATGTATGAAATTTTCAAACAATAAATTTAATAATATATTTTGATCGCATTCAAGCCCCTTTCCAAACTCTTCCTGATACGGGTTCCAGGTATGGGTTTCATCTGTGGAGCAGAAAATTAAATTCAATTAGAAAGTGATTGTGTCCTGCCATGACATTCATACCACGATTGGACTAGTGAGCACATCTTTCCAAGCAAGTCACTGTGGCTCACAAGGTTCCCTGCTGAGTATGATTTGTTATTGCTTTAGCTTCTGGCAGCATGCTTAGAACTATCAAAGCTAGCCAATGTGGGTAAAGCATCTGGGTCAGCCCTTGCTTAATTTCTCCATGCTCTATCACCCAACTATGACTTCAGCAATACAGTCTTATTGTCACATTCTGGAGAGGATCCAAGGAAAAATGCCAATACCCTGTAATATTTGGACACCTGTGAAAATTCACTAGCCAATTACTCTAAATGCATTGACCCATTTTTAGCCTGGTAATTTTTACCTATGTTGCCTAGTAGGTGTAATAACCACCCATCATGTCTCTACTCTTGTAAAGCAGCATAATCTTGAATATTGGTGCCCAGGTTACTTTCTAAAACAATTAATCAAAATTTCTAGTCACTCAAGTGTAGACGAAAATTTCTCTGGTCCTGCCTTGCCCAGCAGTCCTGATGAATCTCTCCCACCACAGTCCCACAGCTGCTTATAAAATAATCACTCAGAGGCTTAATATTAATTACAAACTGTATGGCCTAAGGCTCAAGGTTCTTGCTAGCTAGTTCTTTCATATTAAATTAACTCATTTCTATAAAGCTGTATGTTGCCACATGGCTGTGGCATTATCGGTCTGCTAGCATCTTGTTATGCCTTCAGCGGTGGGCTCCCGTCTTTACCCTTCATCTCATCTTCAGTTTGAATGTACTCCCTGACCTTATCCTGCACTGCCATAGGCCAATGCCACTTTATTTATTATCCAATGGGAGCCACACATATTTACAGCATACAGAAAGACATCCCGCAGCACTCAAGGAGTCCAAAACAAGTATAATATACATCTGTCATGCACACCATTTGTTCAGCATTAAAAAGAAATCCTTATCAAAGAAGGTTCAAAGCAAAAATCTGAGGTTCAGTGAATGCATGATCTAGGTTTATAATGGCATTCTTTAGGGTTATTGAAAATGAGATATGCATGAAAAACTTATAGTTGTAATAAAAATCTTATTAAAAATTGGTGAATTGGCTTTGATAGCACTGAAGATTTGACTGAGACAATTTTGTTTCTGTGTAAAAATAATATACTACCTGATTTTCTAATAGAACAGATTACATTTTTATAGGTTAAAAAGACAAGTCAGATAAAAAATGAGGAATCAAATACTCTTTTATGAACATAAACATGATTGGCTTAAAATTCATTTAAGGATTAAAATTCTGATTTTTATATGTACTGCATTTGTTTACAAAGAGAAAATTGACCATTGAAACAAATTTTCCTTAAAATAGTGACTAGAGATTTAAAAAAATAGACATAATTTTTAGACATCATTGATAAAATAGTATATATTAAAAACAGGCTTGACATTGATATTAAATATTCCAGTTATTTTTTAGTCTTTGTATGTCAAACATAAGTAAATGTAGAATTTTATTATGCCCCAGTCCTTAGTTCATGATAATATTTTGTGGGACTTATATAAGAATTCTTTTCAGTCTCTAGCAGAGTGTATTGTACACTGTAAGCACCTAATAAATTATTTTTTAGGCTCATACTTGAATTATCCAGCAAGGGAAAAGATAATCACTACCAAGTGAGGAAAGGCATATTACTCATCTCTGTAAAATTCCCTTTGCATACACCAAAGGTTATTTCTACAGTGTGAAGCCATTTGCAGGGTGGAGTTGAATTCCTTGTGTTTTTCAGCATTCCTTCATTGCTTCCCCAGTGTCCCACTTGGATTTTGTAAATGCTAATCTTTCAGTTGTTTTGCTTAGTAAGACTCTTACAATTTACAAGTGAAAGGCAAAAAGAGAAAAATGTTTAAAAATTTCAAATTAAGAGTATTTCTATTTGTGTACTGTCAGAATAAAAAAGAAACATTAGCAGGTTTAAACAACTTCCTTAGTGATTTGTAAATTTTTTATTTAAAAAAAAATTTTATTCATTTTACACATCAACCACAGGTCCCCCTCTCATCCCTCTTCATGATCCCTCCACCAGCCTTCTGCCACCCCACAACCCCAGTCCCTCCTCTTAAAAGGTAAGGCCTCCCATGGGAAGTCAGCCAAGCCTGGTACATTCAGTTGAGGCAGGACCAAGCCCCTCCCCTCTGTATCAAGGCTGACCAAGGTGTCCAACCACAGGTAATGGGCTCCCAAAAGCCTGCTCATGCACCAGGGATAGATCCTGATCCCACTGCTAGAGGCCCCCCAAACAGACCAAGCTACACAACTGTCTCCCAATTGCAGAGCATCCACAGCTGTCAGTCTATAGTTCATGAGTTCCCACAAGCTTGGTTCTGTTGTCTCTGCAGATTTCCCCATCCTGAACTTGACCTCCTCCTTGATGATACCATCTCTCCTCCCTCTCCTGGACTAGACTCCTGGAGCAACCCACAGCTCCAGACAAGCCAGGTAACAAGGAGGACTCGAAGAGGGACACATGGATCACCCTGGGAAGGGGAAATAGATGAGATCTTCAGAGTAAACTGGGGGTGAGGGGTGCAATAGAGGGGAGAGGATGGGGAATGAGAACATAAGGGAATGGGATGGTCAAGCTGGGGGAGGGATAGAGTGAGTGAGCAATAAAGGGGATATCCTTTTGGGGGAGACATTATGGGGTTAGGAAGAAACCTAGTGCTGGGGAAATTCCCGGGAATCCACAAGGGTGACCCCAGTTAAGACTACTTGCAATAGTGGTGAGGGTGCTTGAACTGGCCTACCCTGGTGATCAGATTGGTGACCAGCCTAACTATCATCATAGAGCCTTTATCCAGTAACTGATGGAAGCAGATACAGAGATCCACAGCCAAATACTTTGTAACTTTAAATGAAGCAATTGAAAGTAATCCCTACTTTGCATGTTTTTCTATAAGATTTTGCAAGCATATTCATGCTTTCAGGTAGTGTGTCTGTGCATGTGTACATGCATGTGTACATGCATGTGTGTGTGTGTGTGTGTGTGTGTGTGTGTGTGTGTGTGTGTGTGTGTGTGTTACAATGAGACAGAAGTTATGGACTTTCTCATGAGGAAGGAGCACTTTTCTGGTGAGATGCTCCTAAAAAACCATCTTATGAGTCTGAAGTTGGTTTTGTAGCTAAAGTATTGTTCTTAATAATTCTCTTTGTGTGAATTACCTAATTTACTCATAGGTTTGGTGTCTGATAGAAATCTCTGTGACGCTAAGCATAATCAAATGGTTTCATTTGTGTAACTTCTCTAATGGGCTAAGATATGACTGAGTCACTGAAGATCATAGTGACTTCACATTTGTATGTGACTTGTTATTCTCTGGGTTTGGACAAGCATAGGGGAGAACTGGTTCAGTCCTGGAGAAAAATCCTGGTTGTACTTACATATGGACACCTTGATAATTTTCTTTTGGGGAGAATTCCTGTGATCTAAAGGTGTTAGACTTGCTCTTTTGGAATTGTGTAGATTATCAGAAGAACCATGCCCCTTTCTGATCTATGACCTTTCTCTCTCTGCATAATGAGTATGGAAACTACTCCATAATTTGTAATACTGTCATTGAGTAATTTCCTAGGAATGGTGAGAGTCACTTTGAACCTCATTACAAGCTTCCCAGGTAGTCTAGAAGAGTTTCTTCACATTCTGTTCTGTTGGGGATTCTGCTGAGAGTATCTCTCTTTCTGTTTTTGTTTCATCTTTAGATGAGTAAAGACTTCTTCTGAGGACATATTCTCAGAAACAAGGGGTTCCTGTGCCTGCAGATATGGACTGAGACAAGTTCTCCTTGAGATGGCTAATCAGCTCATTCCTTTCCCCAGGATTCTGCCATGTTGTTCCCACTTCTCTTTCAAACTAGACTTGTCCTTGAAGTACAAGTTAAAGACAAAATGTTCCAGAACAATGAGGACATAATTTCATCCTTTCTGGCTAACCTTGAGTTACAAATCTGTCTTTCTAGTTCCTGTTTTGCTCGTGTGTGAGTGCTGGTGCTTGAGAATCTGGAGATCTCTTCCTCAATCTGGACAGCTAATCCTAGCATCAGTTTAAGCTCTGGATTTTCAGAATCAGGATAACATGGGGGATGTTTCATTCTGAAAGGTGTGCCTGTAGTCTAGGCCATTCTTAGCAAGAACTCATAGAAGAATTCAACTTCAGAGATTTGGTCTCTGCTATCTCTGCCTCTGGGGATCTGTTTGAACAACTGGTAGACAATGAACTGCTGTAAGCTCTTTCCATGTTAAATTTCTAGCTGGGGGAGGAGAGTGAGAAACCACCAGATTGATGTGTGCTTGGCTTTCTGTTCTGGGTAATTGCTCAATACTTAAATACTGAAAAGTAAGTCTCTTCCATTTATAGTGATTTGAGGGTTTATTTTGTTATATCCCAACTCCCCATGGAAAATATTGCAATATTCACTTACTGTGAAAGCTGAGGTATAGCTTCTCAACCTAGCTTCTCTTCATGATCAAAATAGCTGACACTGAATAAATGTTACCTGAAAATACTACAGATACCAATCTTCATCTATCATTGCCAAAATAGCCGTATTTTTAAAATAAATTTAAGAGATCATTTGTAATCACATTGCTACAGATTTTTAAGAAGAAACTCCTGCAGAAAACTAGAAGAGTACCCAACTTGAGGCTGCAGAAGAGACAGGCATTGTGACATAAAGACTCAAGAAGAGTCATTTGTCCTGCCTGATGGAGGTCCCAGCATCTGATTCTTGTTATGTTGGGTGCCAAATGGCATGAACCAGTGTCTTAGGGTTTCTACCAAGAGAGTCTCATAGTGAACGTTTCCCTTGGCAGCCTCTCATCTAACCACACCACCCACCTTCTAGTCCTCCAAGGATTCTGCACACCACAAAATAACCTCTAGTAAATCTTGTTTTGCTTAAATTGTTAGAGTGAATTTGGTTATCTATATTTCAAAATCCTAACCAAAAAGACCCTAAAGAAATCTGGGTAACCAGTCCTACTTACATGCTTAAGAACTTGGGAAGGCTCCACCTCAATAGATGTTGGTGAAATTGCTTTGAGAAGTATTTTACATAAAATTTCTATGTGACTTCTACATGTCCAGGAAACCTATTCTACCAATACTATAGTCTCCCAGGACTGTTGGTTTTCAGCTGACCTTACCCACCAAGAACTGTGTTAACTGTGGCTTCAGTCTTAGTTAAATATGAGTATTGTATTGGTTACTTTTTTGTTTGTGGGATGAAATATGTAATAGAATCAACTTGGAAGCATTTATTTTTTTTAATGAGCTGGAAGAAGGACAGGATATATCATTGTTCATACCAGTAATTGTAGTTTCTGTCTACAGTGTAGGAAACATGAAGCAGACTACCAATATCTCCAAGACCCACCAAGAAGCAGAGAAACTCAACTGGAAACAATGTTATGCTGTAACTTCAAAGCCCAACCTCTAAGATTCTGTGGTCATGTGTCTTCCAGGTAAGCCCTATGTCCAAAAAGTTCCATGGTGTCCCAAAGCAGCACTATCAGTTGGGAGAAAGGTGCTCAAACACATGAGTCTATAGGTGAAGTTTCACATGTAAACAATAAGAGGAATGGATTTTTTTCACTATGCTTTACATGATAAGATGAAGCATTTGACACTACTTTTACATCTACTCAAATGGTTGTATAACTCAATTACTCATCCATCATACTTAATGTCAGTTACAAACCAAAGAACTGAATCTAATTTTCTTTGCCTCTCTATATAAATATAGATGTGTAAAAATGCTGCTTTAGTTTGAGACTTAATTCCTAAAGCTATTTCTTAATTACAGCAAAACTCATCAGGGTCTCATCCTTGAAGAAGACTGATTTCTCCTGCTCTTAGCAAGAGACAGGGGCCTTGTGTGATTTCCCTATCCACACTGGCATGTCAATTGGTACTGCCTTTTTGTAAACATCTTGTTTAAGTGAGCACACTGTTGATATTTCACAGATGTAGTAGTATGGGATGCTGGAGTCTTGGATCAGGCAAGATTTATTAAGCAATGAAATCTATAAGGTACACTCACAACACAGAACAGAGCTGTGATGTTGCCACTGATTGAGTCGTGGCCATCTTACCATTCTGCCCAAGGGTGATGGGACCAAACTGCAAGCCGTGATTCTCCACAGTTCGCTCCTGCTCCTACTACCCAAGAGAGGATGCGACCTTTGCTCCACCGTTTTTAAGGGGTCGTGTATTTTCAGAGAAAACCATGCCCATAAGGCCAAAACACTCCATCCAATTTGTCATTGGACAGAATCGTGGAATTCCCACAGCAGTGTAGCTTCCCCCTTCTGGTCATATACAAAGGCATTATCTCAAAGCAGAAGTCCTTGCTCCTCTGACATATAATCTTCACACCTTCTCCTCCATGATTTTCTTTGAGCCTTATGTGTATGGGTTGTGTTGTAGATGTACTAAATTGGGTTAGGCACCCAGGGTCTGTTGTTCTCTGCCATTGTAGATTCCTATAATAGGCTCTGCTGCACAATGAAGTGTATTTGATGAGAGATGAAGCCTCGATGTACCTGTGGGTATAAAGGCAAGCATTTAGAGTTCATCTAGAAATGATACTAGTTTAGGAAAGTGATAGGAGCAGATTCTCCTATCATGTCTAGGACTTCACCAGACCCAAGAAGATGCCGGGTTTACAGTAGCCAAGATGAATTCCCTAGTGAGCAGGCCTGAAGTCATATAAGATGGCTGTTGGTTGCCGCAAGATATAAGTTTCAATGTTTCAACCCTGGGAACATATTGCCATGCTGGTTATTGTTATGTGGTCCATAGGCTTTGTAGATAGGTAAGGCTATTGTTTTTCTCCTTTGACAGCTTGCATAGCTCCCTCGGATCTTATAAAATCTAACCTACAGGGAGAAGAGTTCCAGACTGCCTTCAGCTCAATTTCTTCAAGTTGTGTTTCTGAATTGTGTGGCATCTTCAGTGATTGGGTCTTAACCTCAAGTTCTGGGGAGGCAACCAAGGGCAATGGCAATAGCAATGGAAGTGTCTTTAACCCCACAGACCAACAGCATGAAGGGGTCTGCCTTTGCCTGGCACTAGGGTCTTGTTAGGTAGTCTATTGCTCCTGGCTGAAGCATTATCACACAAAGTGGTATAATGTCATTCAATATCAATATCTTATATGTAATTATTTCCATAGTATATGTGTTTTAAGTAAACTAATGCTTTTCTATGACTTTTTAAACATCCTTACCGTCATCTACTCCTCCTCACTCCCTGCTTCCTAGTTAAATTCCTCCCATTTTTTTTCTATTTCTTCTTTCCTAGCATCTGAGTCTCACTGTACTCTGTAATATTTTTTATTTAGATATAATCATTACTTCATGTTAAGTGATATGATTAGCATTTACTTACCAATGTAATCTAAAAAATGAGCAATTAATGACAGCCACACTTTCTGAGAATGCCAGCTACAAGAGGGCTAAAGCTACCATGAAGATACTGAGGGGCAAACATGTCCAGGAAATGTAAAAGACACAAGTTGATGGGACATGTTAGTTTCCCTGTACTATATCTGCCCCACCCACCATTGCAGACTGGCCTCAAATTCTTAATAGGCACATATAGTGAAACAGTTACCCTTTTAACACTTTATCATAGTTTATCACTAGCCCAAAATTAATTAATTAAAGAGACTAAATTTGTTGATGCTATATGGTGACTCTGATGAATTTTTAGCATGAGCCTTCCTAAGTTCTTGCCCTGTAGCCCGGAGGAGGCATATCCACCAGTGGTATTGAGGTTGACACACCTGAAAAAAAAAAGGATAGATTCAGTTAACAGAATTATACAATTCCAGCCCAGCTTCATTCAGTGCTCTTCGGCATGCATAACACAATCCCAGGTAAATGTGAAGGCACAGATTTGATGAATCCATGGGTTACTTCCAAGGTAAAAAAATGTGAACCAGAACAACACCAGCTACACATCTACATGGAAATTATTAGGGAACTTTAAAATCATGGGATAAAAGGGTATATTATTGGGTCTACTTTTGAACAACCACTAGTCTCAAATATTTTACATTAATATGGATTTTTATATATTGATAAAAATTTAAGATTATTTTTGTTATACTGTATATATGTTTCTACTCTTGCATTGTACCTATGCAGCTCATTTAAAAATGTAATATAAAGTTCTAGTCCTATTGTTATAAACCATTTAGGATAATTAAGAGATGCAGGTAGTAGTTAGTCATCTATAAAAATCAAACTTATAGTCATTAAGTATGTTCTTAAGATTAAACAGGGATATATTTTAAATAGATAGATAATCTTCAAACACTTCAAAAACTTACAGAATAAGGCATTTAAAATGTTTTAATAGCATAAGTCTTTTCATGACACTGAGACACATCTGCTCCTGGTAGCATAAATTTTCTTCAAAAAAGGATGATGAACATCAAAGAACCTCACTAGAGTTTCCTTGCAATGCAACAAAGCTAGCTTTTTGAACAATAAACTGCCCTTGCCTTGACTGCTGACAATATGCTGTCCAAATTGGACAAGTGGAACACAAAAGGAGACTACTGAATTTTGCCAAGACAAGGTAGGACAGTCCTTCAAAATTACTACTTCACAAAAGTCTGTTAGATATTCTAGGCCTGTAGTCCAAAGTTGGATGCCCCAATGTTGCAGAGGAACCTTCGGTGACTGTCCAGGCAGCCAGTTGTTTCTCTCACTTCTATAGCTTTGGAAGTTGCTTTCTCTACACTCCTGTTTAATCAGGTAATATTATATTCTTCTTGGGTCTCTGATGGAAATTGAAAACTACATATTATACAGTTTTACTTGTTACTAAATTCATTAAAAAAATCTTACAACAGAGATATAAAGTTTGTAAGGTTGGAAACATAAAAGCTTAAGTTGTTTATCTAAGAAAATGTTCTTAGGTCTAAAAAGATATTTTTATGATGGTAATACAAGTTATGATAGAAAATGGTTTTGATATAACACTTTGGAATCACTAAGATAGGTTAGACAATACAGCACTTTCTCTGAATTTGCCAAATACATATGTACTAAACATTGTGAATACAATTCTTTTGATAATTGTTCTTATTATAAATAGTTTTACTATGTTAGAGTTAAAATATTTTGTTTTTATTTACACAAAAAGGAGGAAAATCTGTGGGCTATTTCTACACTGTGTGAATGTGTATTTGCTGACTGATTTAATAAAAATCTAAACTTCCTAGGAAAGAAAAAAGAGGAGTGAAATCTAGGCACATGGGAGATGTCAGGAGACATGGAGAGGAAACAGGAGGTGCAAGAAGGAAGAGAAGTAATGCCACATGATAAAATATAGATAAAAATAAATGGATTAATTTGTTATAAGAGCTGGTTAGGAGCAAGCCTATGCTATAAGATGAGTTTTCATAATTAATAAAAAGTTTCCATGTCATCATTAGGGAGCTGGCTGGTGGACAGAAAAAGACTCATTACAGAACTTTTCTAGATGAAGTAGAAAAATAATATAATTATCCTTGAATAATGAACATTTAATTTAATTGCAAAGCTGCATTGCTATAATCATTGCCAATATAAGGTAATTTCCCCTCACTTTAATTTAGTTAAATAACTTCTGAGCAGGATGTATTTTAAAAAAAATCAGCATGGATTGAATAGAATCAAGGTATATTTAATACATGTATTAAATTGTCAATGAATGAATAAAATATGCATTTATTGAAGAGATGTCAACTGGCATTTTCACCTCACTCTAAAATATTGTAGCACTAACTTCATTACAATAATGTATTTCTCAAGGATCTGAACTGTGAGACGTTATGGGAGATGATCCTCAGAACAACACATTTGAAGGACTGATCAAATCACCCATTGTTTTCAGCTGAGCAACAGTTGATATGTATTGACTGAGACTAGCTCCTAAACTAAGATGTGTACTGTTAGACATGACAAATATTGCAGTCACTAAGGAAGTCTCAAAGTTAAAAAAAAAAACAATCATTTTTATATCACACAAGTACCCTCCTAGTACAAATTCCACCAAAAAACCCACTCAGATACCAAAAAATAGACAGCTCAGAAATTCAGTCCTCTCTCTCTCTCTCTCTCTCTCTCTCTCTCTCTCTCTCTCTCTCTCTCTCTCTCTCTCTCTGTGTGTGTGTGTGTGTGTGTGTGTCTTTGTGTGCCTATGCATATGTGTGTGAAAGAAACTGTGAAGGTCCTGAGATACTGTGTTAGAATTAAATTTTGCTTGGCAGACAAGGTCAATAGCAATAATGTTAAGGTAGATGTCTGAAACCTAATTTGTAATGTCTGGTTTAATATTTCTTTAGTCTATAAATCTACAGGATATTGGATATAAGAAAGTAAGAGAAGTCTGAGGTCATGCTCTATTGAGCCTACAGTCAAGAAGTATGACTCAAAAGTCTCAATTCAGTATATTAACACAAAAGACTCAGTGTGTTAATTTAGAATGTAAGGAGACTTTAGGCTTTTCAATAGACCCTTAAATGTTTATAATAGTCAAAGAGTCTGTCTATGTGTCTGAGTTAAAGATATGTCTTCCTAGTTCACTAGACAAAATTTATACTGACTTATACAGAATTCTTTCATATTTTTAAATAGGAACATATTTATAGAACCCAAATCCTGTTATTTGGCAGTGGTAACCTGGAAAGTCAAAAGCAGACCATCCATAGCTGTGTAGTACAGCTTTAAAGTCACTCATAAATGTTTTCTTTGTGAAAGTCATCCATCAGCAACTAAAGAACTCTAACAAGCTATCAAAAGGATAGGAGAACAAACATTGAACTATAGTGCCCCCTGGCATGAAGAACAGGCTGTGTGCTATTTCTGAAAACAAAATTTAAAGTGGATTTTGTTTCACAGAAAATAATTGCCTCAAAATTAAATGCATAACAAGAGAATGGATGGAAAAGGTTAACTTATCTATTAGTCAATAATTCATATCTATTAAACAATGTCATAAAAATATGCTAAGAGAAAGCCATCTCCAGGCACACGTGCACCTATGTTGACTTCTCAGTATAATGGTGAGATGTCAAGAAATACAATGAAAATAAAGGTAGTGCCTGCAAATTCACAAGAAACTAGCAATCTCCTTCTAAAAATACCACCAACTGAATGACTTTTATTATTAATATTTTATCACATCCATACATGTTCAGGATATTAAATCATAATCTGTATGCCATTGACCTAATGATAATTTCATTTTGATATAAACAAATTATCTCAGCATTCTGTTTCAGTGATGTCAAGCAGAAAATGAAAAGGTATGTTCTTTTCGTTTCTGATATACTTTCTGAGGTAATGTCTAACAGAAATCACATGCAGTGCAGAAAGCCTGGGAAACACATGGTGTTATGTATGACAAGGCCAAAGATGAAGCTCTTTTGTAGGCTGAGAAGTGCCCAGGGTAGAGGAAATCCAATGAGTAGAGTATTCTAAAGAAAATGTAAAGAAGACATAATTAGCGATATGAAATATTAGGATACAATTTACCAATGAACATGATTCTGTGCAAATGGGATTTTTATTAGGCAGGAAGCTACTAGTAATTCATATAAATAACACTAATGACCTGAGATATAAATATGTGTCCCTGTTGAAATGTTATCATATTTAAGTGATACCAATCCCATCAGTTAAAGAACTCCCTGTCTTTAAATAATCAAGAAAGGCAGTGATACCATGTGTTCTCAATGGTCTCTATTCACAAGGTAATTGTTTCATCTCAGGTGTAAATACATGCATGAAAGTTTAAAAGGTGCACTGGCTACCTACTGGTAAATGCTGAAATCTAAATCCACGTATCTTTAGCTTAAAAGCAAACCCCATTTACTGGTTCTCAGGAGGCAGAGGCAAGCAGATCAAAACTCCAGGCTAGCCTAGACTTGACAGTGAGATTCTGCCTCAAAATCAAAAATAGAGTAAAACAGAGACATCTAATTGCTGCTTGTCTGAGCCTGCAGCTCTCCCCTGAGATGTAAGAGCTGCTTGCAAGGAGAATTTGCGTTTTGACAATGTGCACAATCCTATATCTGGAGAAAACTAGAATATTGATTCTTCTTTGATACTTTGGCATCACTCAGGTTTCCATAGTGGGTTTCTTATTCTACACCAGATGGTCACTAATCCCAGCCCGCTCATACCTACAGGCAACGGTTGCAGCAGAGCAGCCACTGGCAGCAAGATGAGCTTATCTGAGTGAGCAGACTTTCTTCACCGACCGTCAACCAGAGCTAGAAGACCACTGCTTGGTATTTCATACCATCTCTGAATGAGAAAACCTTCATGTATTTTCAAAGAATCAAAAATGCCAACAAAGAGAAAATAAGGTTGGTTAAAGTTAAGAAAATCATAGCTTTTTTCTGTCCAGGTCTTCATTTGAAGCAAACAAAAAAACTGATGCATTTAGGCACTCTAAGGATTGCCTATGTTCTTTTCTTTCTGGTTTGTTGTGGTAGTTGTGGTTATTGGTTTTGGTTTGGATTTTTTGTTATTTGTTTTGTTTTGTTTTCTGAGACAGGATCTCACTCTGTGGCTCCGGCTGGCCTGGAACTCAGAACTCATCCTGTAAATCAGGCTGCCCTCAAGTTTATAGAGATCCACCTGCCTCTGCCTCCTAAGTGCTGGGACTAATGGTGTGCACCGTCGTTCTCTGCTGTGTTGTTTTCTTTTGTTAGTAAGACGATGGTGGCTTTTAGTTTTGAAATTATTATTGTAAGTGTATGAATTCCCCCTCCCCCTTCATCTCTTAAAATCCTTCCTTATACTCATCCTTTCTCTCTTTCAAAATCATGGTCTCTCTCTTTTTATCAATGGTTGTTACATAAATACAACCTTCTCAGTCTGTATAATATTACATATATTTTTTTTTCAAGTTTGACCACTTGGTTTTTGATGACCAATCAGTGTGCTCTCCCCGAGGAAGACTATTTTTCTCATTCTCAGCATTCCTTAGTTGTCTATAGCTTTTTGTGTAGGGTTGAGGCCTCCTGGTCTTTCCCAGGTCCACATTCCCATGTGTATTAGTGTACCTGTTCAGCTCATGCTTAGGCAGTCATATTGGTGAAACTTTATGGGTGTAGGTTTTGACATTACTAGGAGACACAATTTCCCAGCAAACTCTCTGTTCCTCTGGCTCTTACACTTTCCATTCCCTCTTGTACAATGTTCCTTAAGCCTTAGGTTCTGTAGCTGTTTTGTAGATCTATCAGTTTGAACTAGGCTGCACAACTCCATATTTTGATTGGTTATGGTTTTCTGTATTGGTCTCTGTGGTTGCAAAGAAAAGTTTCCTTGTTGGGTAACTGTATCTTATTTGTGGGTATGAGAATAAATATTTAGAATATACTTAGGGATTATGCTGGTTTAGTAAATTAGCAGTTGCAGGTTCTTTGCTAGGAATCCATGGTTTCTTTTGCACTGGATAATTGCCTACATTTCTAATACCAGGTATTATTTCCCTCTTGTTGAGGGAGTCTTAGGTCTTAAATCCAATTAGATGCTGTAGGTCACTGTCAAGATATGCCACTACTATTGTTGTAATTTAGAAACACTGTGCAGCAGCCTTGGCAGGTGGAGCCAGGGTGTCCCGTGGTGGTGAGGGAGACATGCCATGCAGACTGGGCGGGCAGCGGCCAAGGAGGCACATCAGAAAGTCACTCACACCATGCAGACACAGCACCCATGTGGAAAGTTTTATTGGGGGGAAGAGAGAAGGGAAAAGAAGAAAAGAGAGAGAGCCAGGGAGGAGGTGCATGTGTCTTCATGGCAAGAGAAAGGAAGGAAGAAGAGAGAAGAGAGAGGGGTTTTCTCTTAAAGAGAACTTTACATAAGATGATGTTGTCAGGACACTGGGTGGATCTCCAAGGGGCAGGTCTGAATGCTAACAACTACACCCTTAGGGATATCATGCCATGCTAGTCATTGTTGTGGTCTATAGGCATCATACTCAAGTAGGGGTGTTGGTTACCTTCCTCCTTTGGAAACTTCCATATGTGGGAGTCTGTGGGAGACCAGCTCCAAACTTCTCCTTATTGTTATTTTACTTTCCTCTCTCCTTTTATCCTTCAGTCTCTTTACACCTTCCCTGATTAGATTCTCCCTGTTTTTTTTTTTTCCCATCTCCTTGAAGAGATCACTTGTACTCTGCTATTGCTCTCTCTATTGGTCTTGCTTCTCCCAACAGCAATGTAACACGTACTTTCCTGATTGCTGTAGCTATTCAAGAAGATTTACTCACAAGATTTTGTGCTGGCATCCTCAGATGAGAAAGAACGTATAGGATTTGTCTTTCTCAATCTGAGTTATTTCACTCTGAATGATCTTTAGCAATACCATCAATTTACGTGCAAAGTTTGTAATTTCATTTTTCTATACAGCTGGATAGTATTCTATATTATGTATCACATGTGTTCTTTTCAGAATTGTCTTAGGGTTTCTAATGCTTTGAAAAGACAACATGACCATAGCAACTCTTATAAAAGAAAACATTTAATTGGGATGGCCTACAGTCTCAGAGGTTTAGTCCATTATCATCGCGATGGGACATGGCAGCATGCATGCAGCTTAGGATGGAGCTGAGAGTTCTGCATCTTAATTGGCAGGGAACAGAAGCAAAGACTGCCACATTGGGCATAACTTGAGCATATATGAATCATCAAAGCCCACCTTCACAGTGACACACTTCCTCCAAAAAGTCTATACCTCCTAATAGTACCATTCCTATAGGCCAAGTATTCACAAACACATGAGTCTATGGGGGTCATACCTAGTCAAACTACAACATCAATATAATAAATTTATGGGTAGGCATAAGACTACTATAAATAAAAACATTTAAGTAATATGATTCATCTAATATTAAAGGGTCCTTTATGAACGTAACAACTGTGTTAGAGTAGTCTCATATTTTTTCCATATATATGGAGGTGTGGCTTGGGATCCTTTAGAGACAAGGTCTCACTATGCAGCTTTGCCTTACCTAAAATTCACTATGTAGCCCAAGCTGGCTAAGAACTCACAGAGATCCACCTGTCTCTCCCCCAAAGTGCTGGCATTAAAGGCACACGCTACTACACCTGGCTTTTCGTTTTTTTTTAACAAAGTTTGATTCATAAAAAAACATTAGTAGTTATCTATTCCTTTATTTTAAAAAGTTAAGTTTAGTCTTCTTTGTTTGCTGTAGAACTGCCTGAAGACCAGGCGTTACATCCCCCAATTTCCAGATCAAGATAACTCACAAATGTGATATGGGCCACTGATCAAGAGTTTAGAGTAAGTTTTATTCCACTTTACTTAAGAAAGAGACTAAAGAGTTCCAGAATAATATCTGAAGGAAAATAAAGCCGTGTCTTGCTTCCATTTCTCATATACTCTGACACAAATAATTGAAGTAACAGATTATCAATTAACTAACATAAATTTAGCTTGCTGTGAATTTTGTCTTTACCTTCTCATTTTTAACTTATTTTAATAACTATTAAATGGAATCAAAAGAATCTTTATAAAAAACATAAAAAGTATAAATAATTATTGCACAGTTAAAAAACATGTGCTATCTTTCTATATTAGTTCATATAGTTTTTTTGCTATCACTGTGCAAATATTACCTGAAGCTAGTTAAATTTATTATAGAAATAAGTTCCTTTCAGTCATAGTTCTAGAATTGAAGGACCTACAACTGATGATAGTTTTTCTTT